CAAGCTCTCTCTCTTCGCAGATGACATGATACTTTATGTGGAAAACCCAAGAGACTCCATCCCCAAATCACTAGAACTCATACAGCAAGTTGGTAATGTAGCAGGATACAAAATCAGTGCACAGAAATCAGTTGCTTTCTTATACACTAACAGTGCAACTGTAGAAAAGGAAATTAAAGAATTCATTCCATTTACAATAGAACCAAAAACCATATGATACCTCGGAGTAAACCTAACCAAAGAGGTAAAGGATCTATACTCTAGAAACTACAGAACACTCATGAAAAAATCTGAAGACACAAAAAGATGGAAAAACATTCCATGCTCATGGATCAAAAGAATAAACATTGTTAAAATGTCTATGCTACCCAGAGCAATCCATACCTTCAATGCCATCCCGATCAAAATTCCAATGACATTTTTCAAAGTGCTGGAACAAACAATCCTAAAATTTGTATGGAATCAGAAAAGACCCCGAATCACCAAGGATATGTTGAAAAAGAAAAACAAAGTTGGGGGCATCACGTTGCCCGATTTCAAGCTATATTACAAAGCAGTGATCACCAAGACAGCATGGTACTGGAACAAAAACAGACAAATAGACCAATGGAACAGAATAGAGAGCCCAGATATGGACCCTCAACTCTATGGTCAAATAATCTTTGACAAAGCAGGAAAAAACATGCAATGGAAAAAAGACAGTCTCTTCAATAAATGGTGCCGGGAAAATTGGACAGCTATATACAGAAGAATGAAACTTAACTGTTCTCTAACACCCTACACAAAGATAAACTCAAAATGGATGAAAGACCTCAATGTGAGACAGGAATCCATTGACATTGACCACAGCAACTTTCAAGATACATCTCCAAAGGCTAGTGAAACAAAAGCAAAAATGAACTTTTGGGACTTCATCAAGATAAAAAGCTTCTGCACATCCAAGGAAACAGTCAGCAAAACAAAGAGGCAACCCACAGAATGGGAGAAAATATTTGCAAATGACACTACAGACAAAGGGCTGATTTCCAAGATCTATAAAGGACTTCTCAAACTCAACACCCAAAAAACAAATAATCAAGTCCAAAAATGGGCAGAAGACATGAACAGACACTTCTTGAAAGAAGACATACAAATGACTAACAGACACATGAAAAAATGTTCATCAGCATTAGCCATCAGGGAAATTCAAGTCAAAACCACATTGAGAGACTACCTTTCACCAGTTAGAATGGCAAAAACTGACCAGGCAAGAAACAACAAATTTTGGAGAGGTTGTGGAGAAAGGGGAACCCTCTCACACTGTTGGTGGGAATGCAAGTTGGTACAGCCACTTTGGATAACAGTGTGGAGGTTCCTCAAAAAATTAAAAATGGAACTACCCTATGACCCAGCAATTGCACTCCTGGGTATTTACCCCAAAGACACAAATGTAGCGAAAAGAAGGGCCATACACACCCCAATGTTCATAGTAGCAATGTCCACAATAGCCAAACTATGGAAAGAGCTGAGATGCCCTTCAACAGATGAATGGATAAAGAAGATGTGGTCCATACATACAAAGGAATATTACTCAGACATCAGAAAGGATGAATACCCAACTTTTACATCAACATGGATGGGACTGGAGGAGATTATGCTAAGTGAAATAAGTCAAGCAGAAAAAGTAAATTATCATAGGGTTTCACTTATTTGTGGAACATAAGGAATAACATGGAGGACATTAGGAGAAGGAAGGGGAAAATGAAGGGAGGGAAATTGGAGGGAGGGACGAACCATGAGAGACTATGGACTCTGAGAAACAAACTGAGGGTTTTAGAGGGGAGGGGGTTGGGGGGATGGGTTAACCTGGTGATGGGTATTAAGGAAGGCACGTACTGTATGGAGCACTGGGTATTATATGAAAACAATGAATCGTGGATCAGTACATCAAAAACTAATGATGTATTGCATGGTGACTAACATAATAAAATTAAATTAAAATAAAAAAATAAAATCCTTGAGGAGAACACAGGCAACAACCTCTTTGACCTCAGCCACAGCAACTTCTTCCTAGAAACATCGCCAAAGGCAAGTGAAACAATGGCAAAAATGAACTATTGGGACTTATCAAGATAAAAAGCTTTTGCACAGCAAAAGAAACAGTCAACAAAACCAAAAGACAACTGACAGAATGGGAGAAGATATTTGCAAATGACATATCAGATAAAGGGCTAGTATCCAAAATCTATAAAGAACTCATCAAACTCAACACCCAAAAGACAAAGAATCCAATCAAGAAATGGGCAGAAGACATGAGCAGACATTTTTCCAAAGAAGACATCCAAATGGCCAACAGACCCATGAAAAAGTGCTCAACATCGCTCGGCATCAGGGAAATCCAAATCAAAACCTCAATGAGATACCACCTCACACCAGTCAGAATGGCTAAAATTAACAAGTCTGGAAACGGCAGATGTTGGCGAGGATGCAGAGAAAGGGGCACCCTCCTACACTGTTGGTGGGAATGCAAGCTTGTGCAGCCACTCTGGAAAACAGTATGGAAGTTCCTCAAAAAGTTGAAAAGAGAGCTACCCTACAAACCAGCAATTGCACTACTGGGTATTTACCCCAAAGATACAAATGTAGTGATCCAAAGGGGCACATGCACCCTAATGTTTATAGGAGCAATGTCCACAATAGCCAAACTAGGGAAAGAGCCTAGGTGTCCATCAACAGATGAATGGATAAAGAAGATGTGGTGTATATATATACAATGGAATATTATGCAGCCATCAAAAAAATGAAATCTTGCCATTTGCAATGACGTGGATGGAACTAGAGGGTATTATGCTAAGTGAAATAAGTCAAACAGAGAAAGACAAGTATCATATGGTCTCACTGATATGAGGAATTAGAGAAACAAGACAGAGGATCATAGGGGAAGGGAGGGAAAAATGAAACAAGACAAAACCAGTGAGAGAGACAAACCATAAGAGACTCTTAATCTCAGGAAATAAACTGAGGTTTGCTGGAGTGGAGGGGGGTGGGAGGGATGGGGTGGCTGGGTGATGGACATTGGGGAGGGTATGTACTATGGTGAGCGCTGTGAATTGTGTAAGACTGATGAATCACAAACCTGTACCCCTGAAACAAATAATCCATTATATGTTAATTAAAAAAAATTTTTAAATAGTATTATATACATATTATAGGCAAAAAATATTTTCCAAAATAATTAATTATACTAAAATGTAGATGGGGATGCATATGGATTCTGAAATAAAATTAACTTTGTCTTGTTAGTCTTTTCAAAAGGTAATATTTGGGACAGTAAAAGGCAGTAAGACCAATAGATTATAGTTCCAAATGGAATCAAAGGACTTTTGGAGCCAGAATATTAGACAGTAGTACTTTTACCCTCACTCAATAGTACATACCAAATAGTCTGTTCAGTATTATTTCATTTTTTCTAAATCTTTATAACTTTGGAAAATCAGGAAGGGAAACAAAAATATGTTAACAGTAGTTGGTTATCTTGGGGAAATAGGATTATGGTAATTTTTGTTTTCTTCTTTATGCATATCTTTTTTGAAATTATCATTAATTATGACATATTACTTTTGTAATATAAATTACCTTATTTGGATGGAACTGGAGGGTATTATGCTAAGCAAAATAAGTGAGAAAAAGACAAATACCGCATGATTTCACTCATATGCAGAATTTAAGAAACAAAACAGAAGAACATAGGGGAAGGGAAGGAAAAATAAAATAAGATAAAAACAGAGAGGGAGGTAAACCTTAAGAGACTCTTACCCGGGAGCCTGGGTGGCTCAGTTGGTTAAGCGACTGCCTTCGGCTCAGGTCATGATCCTGGAGTCCCTGGATCGAGTCCCACATCAGGCTCCCTGCTCGGCAGGGAGTCTGCTTCTCCCTTTGACCCTCCTCCCTCTCATGCTCTCTGTCTCTCATTCTCTCTGTCTCAAATAAATAAATAAAATCTTAAAAAAAAAAGAGAGACTCTTAACTATAGGAAACAAACTGAAGGTTGCTGGAGGGGTGGTGGGGGTCGTCGGATAACTGGGGGATGGGCATTAAGGAGGGCACTTGAAGTAATGAACACTGGGTGTTATATGCAACTGATGAATCACTAACTTCTACCCCTGAAACTAATAATACACTATATGTTAACTAAATTGGATTTAAATAAAAAAATTTTTAAAACACTAAAATATAAATACTATTAATACTATGTTTTCGGGGCCCCTGGGTGGCTCAGTCGTTAAGCGGCTGCCTTCGGCTCAGGTCCTGGGATCGAGCCCTGCATCAGGCTCCCTGCTCCATCGGGAGCCTGCTTCTCCCTCTCCCACCGTCCCCCCAACTTGTGTTCCCACTCTCGCTGTCTCTCTCTCTCTGTCAAATAAATAAATAAAATCTTTTAAAAAAATACTATGTTTTCATTTGTAAATATGAAAATACTAATGACCCAGTCAATGCTGTACTTAAAGGAAAAATCACAGATCTAAATGCCTACATTAAGAATAAAAAAGTAGGGGCGCCTGGGTGGCTCAGTCGTTAAGCGTCTGCCTTCGGCTCAGGTCATAATCCCAGGGTCCTGGGATCGAGCCCCGCATTGGGCTCTCTGCTCAGTGGGGAGCCTGCTTCTCCCTCTCCCACTCTGCCTACTTGTGTTCCCTCTCTCACTGTCTCTCTCTGTCAAATAAATAAAAATAAAATCTTAAAAAAAAAAAAGAAAAAAGTAAATAAAACTTTCTAATGCCTTTTAAAACTCTTTAAGGCATTGTATTTAGACTAATACTGCTGAATGGATTATCACATTCAAGTTCAAACAACCAGTATAGCTTTAAATATTGTATTACTAAAATTGTTATTAATAACAATTAATGATTTTAATAAATTAATATACAATTTATTAATACAAAATTTATTAACATTACTAATAATTTAAATCATTAAAATAGTAAATATTTTATACTTGACAGTTTACACAGAATGCATACGTTACGTTCTTCCTTAGCTGCTTCTTCTAACTGAGCAGCAAATTGTGAACAACATCTCAAGAATGAATTCAGATCATCCCCAACCTTTTGAAAAGAATAACAAAAAAAAGTTACTTTCATTTCAGAATCCATATGCATCTCCATCTACATTTTAGTATATTTAATTATTTTGGAAAATATTTTTTTGCCTATAATTTATGTCCCTTCAAACCTATAAGACAAGAAATCATGCTCCAAATGCTCTACTAGCAAATTCCTCCAGAAAGTGAAAGAGAGTACATTCTGGGGACTGGCCCATTAATGACATATATCCTGCTATGCCTCTTTTATTCTCCCCTGCACTGTTGCAGAAAAGCAAGCATCCCGGATTTAAGCTCCTGAAAGTTATGAATACCCAAAAAAAGGTAGCCACTCTGTACACAGAAATATATAGAAATATCTCTTTGTGTTAGAAAATGAATGCTCATTATGACTTCTCAATATAAGTATACTTGCCAAGAGCTGTAGTCTTTTACTCTCACTCAATGGGCAAATGAATACTTTGAGGAAAAAATAGTGGCAGATGAAAATATCATAATGACTGAATCTTTTCTAGTAGAATAGTGATTTGTAAATCAGAGACAACCTATGATACACAAATCTCAGATGCTTATATAGAGTTAGGATTCTCACAGAATGTTCTCCATGAGGAATATGTTCATTTAACATCACATTTTAAAACATACTCACAGGCTGATACATTTTTTTTGTCATGAAAAAGACTTATACCCATATAGGAGAGGGGGGAAAACTGAATTAATCGTTCAGGAAAGTGGGAAAATGAATGAACTCGGTTTATTAATTATAAATATAAAATGAGACTATAAGCATACTTGGGGATTTTTTCTTCTACTCACATTCAGATGCCACAAATATAGAGAAGATGGTGACTGATTTGATCAGGGTTGCAGTTTAACAAAATAAAATCAATATAGCATGGCAGGGCAAGAAAGTACATATGCTTGGGAGCAATAATAATAATGGACCATGGAATTTAAGCTAGGTAAGTTAAGACCACAAGGAGGATTTGGGACAGTAAAAGGCAGTAAGACCAATGGATTATAGTTCCGAATGTAATCAAAGGACTTTTGGAGCCAGAATATTAGACAGACTAAGTGGGAAAGATAAGAGGTAGTGACCACAGATTAAGATGATTGAAACAAATTATGGAAAAGTTAGTTATTGGTTATGACAAAGACTAGAGGATATCATCTTGTCAGTTGCTGAGATAGGATAGAAGACAAGATCATTGGAGGAAAGGAATTCAACGAACTGAGATGTTGGATTATTTGCAAAGATCATCTACATGTATATCAAAATCATCAAAAATTATGACAACAGTGTTGTGAGACAAGTATATAATAGTCTTAAAATAGTATCACTTATACTATTATAATGGTATTTTAATGGTCATTATAATAGAGACTATTAGTTGCCTACTAACAGGACCTCAATTTTATTGGGAATCCCAACATGCATAGCTAGTAATAATAATAATAAGGGGCACCTGGGTGGCTCAGTCAGTTAAGTGTCTGCCTTCAGCACAGATCATGATCCCAGGGTCCTGGCATCAAGTCCTGTGTTGGGCTCCATGCTCAGTGGGGAGCCTGCTTCTCTCTCTCCCTCTGCCCTCCCCATGCCACTCGTGTTCTCTCTCTCTCTCTCTCAAATAAATAAAATCTTTTAAAAATGACAATAATAATAAAATTTCCAGCCTCCTTTACCAATAAGGTTAGCCTCGTGTCCCAATCAGACCAATGAGACAAAAAGAGATTGTGGGGCAGCACTTCTAAAAAGATCTTTAAAAAGGAAGCAGAAATGCCACTTATGATTATGATGTGAAAATGTATGAGAGGTATTCACTTTGGTGTTAACATCCAGAAAGGACAGGGCACCTGGGTGGCTCAGTCGGTTAAACGTCTGCCTTCGGCTCAGGTCATGGTCCCGGAGTACCGGGATCGAGCCCCACATTGGGCTCCCTGCTCAGCGGGGGGGTCTGCTTCTCCCTCTCCCTCTGCTCCTCCCCCTACTCATGCTCTCTCTCGATCTCTCTCTCAAATAAAAAAAAATATTTTTTTAAAAGAAAATTAAACATCCAGAAAGGAAAAATATATAAAATTATATAATTATCACCCCTTTCCTTGAGGATACTGAAGGAGAGGATAGGATAAAAATCTGATGAACTGACCTCCACAGAAGAACACTTCATAGATAAGCAAAGAACCGAAGACATATCCATACCTAAAGGGAGCATGGTGGAGAAAGAGAGCTTGGTCTAGTGTGTGCAAAGTGTGTCAAGTCAACCAAGTCAAAAAGCAGGCCTACCATTGACAAACAGAATTCAGAGGATGAAGAAAAACCAGCTGAGCCCTTGACAGACATTTAGGCTAGGAGATAGACTGGAATGAGAAAAGCTCCCAAGGCAAATCACTCAACTCAACCATTCTTCTTCTACCAAACCCCTCCCCATTTGAATTTTGCCAATATGGTAGCAGAAAAGGAGGCCTACATTCCTTAGGAATGGTCAGAATTAAAAAGTCTGACAATACCAATTTTGGTAAGGATGTACAGCCACCGGAACTCTCCCAGAGAGCTGGTAGGAACATAAATCGTTTTGCCATGTTGGGAAGTCGTTTGGCAATTGCTCATAAAATTAAACATATACTTATAAATCACCAGTCCTATTCCAAAGCAATTATCCAAGATGAATAAACACATATGTCCCCCCAAAGACTTGCACACAAATGTTCACAGAAACTTCATTCATATGGAGGGGCACTTGCACCCCAGTGTTCATAACAGCAATGTCCACAATAGCCAAATTGGGGAAGGAGCCAAGATGTCCTTCGACAGATGAATGGATAAAGAAGATGTGATATATATCCCATCTATCCATATATATATATATATATATATATATATATATATATCTATATATCACATATATCCATATATATATATACACATACACATGGATATATATGGATATATGGATATATATATACACACAATGGAATATTATTCAGCCATCAGAAAGGATGAATACTTACCATTTACATTGACCTGGATGGAACCGGAGGGTATTATGCAAAGTGGAAATAAGTCAATCAGAGAAAGACAATTATCATATGGTTTCACTCATATGTGGAATATAAGAAACAGTGCAGAGGACCACAAGGTAAGGGAGGGAAAACTGAATGGGAAGAAATCAGAGAAGGAGAAAAACCATGAGAAATTCTTAACTACGGGAAACAAACTGAGGGCTCCTGAAGGGGGGTGGATGGGGGAATGGGGGAACTGGGTGTTGGGCATTAAGGAGGGCACGTGATGTGATGAGCACTGGGTGTTATACACAACTGATGAATTGTTGAACACCACATCTGAAACTAATGATGTACTATGTGTTGGCTAATTGAAGTTAAATTGAAAAAAATAATGAAACTTCATTCATAACAGCCCAAATAGCTACTGGATCCAACAACCTAAATGTTTATTAACTGATGAATGGATAAACAAACTGTGGTATAGCCATACAATGGAATATTCTTCACAATAAAAGAAACAAACTACAACAACATGGATGAATCTCAAAAACATGATGATGAAATAGGGAAGACTAGATATATAAGGCTACATATTATATGATTTTATTTATAGGACATTCTAGAAAAGGCAAAAGTATAGTGATGGATCAATCAGTAGTTGTCTGGAGCCAGGATAGGAGAGAATTGACTGTAAATGGAGTACAAGGAGGCTTTGGGGGATAATGAAAATGTTTTAAGGTTTGATTGGCATTTACACAACTATAAAAAACAGGAACTAAGAAACAGAGGAATCTCATCCTGCATGTTCTTGTGGTAATTGTATTTTGAAGCTCTGCCAGGATTGAACCAAGATGTGAACCAAAACTTTAAAATCAGATTTCAAACTCTTGCCAGCTAAAATACTGGCAATATCAAAGAAATCAGCCCCTCAGGGGAAGCAGCAATAGGAGAGATTATGGGTTAGACAAATCAGGCAACAATTCAACTTAATTAAAATATGGACCAGTTCCTGCTCAAATCAGTTCTTGTAGGAAAGAATTATTAGCTGTTCATCCTAAATGCCAGAAAGGAAACAGTAACCATTCTCTAGAAAATAAACAGTGTACCACAGTTTCCAATGTTTTTCTAAATCTAATGCTTGGGATCCAATAAAAAAAATTACAAAACATATGAAGAACCAGGAAAATACAATCCATAATCAAAAGAAAAAAATAATAGAAGTAAACACACTGTTGACCCAGATATTGGAAATTAGCAGGCAAAAACTTTTAAAACTCTGTGCCTGATAAAAGAATTTGCAGGAGGGCGCTTGGGTGGCTCAGTTGGTTAAGCGACTGCCTTCGGCTCAGGTCATGATCCCGGAGTCCTGGGATCGAGCCCCACATCGGGCTCCCCCTTCTCTGTGGGGAGCCTGCTTCTCTCTCTGCCTCTGCCTGCCACTCCCCCTGCTTGTGCTCATTCTCTCTCTCTCTGTCAAATAAATAAATAAAATCTTTAAAAAAAAAAAAAAAAAAAAGAATTTGCAGGAAAAGATAGATAGACTAGGTGAATGATGGATAGTAGCAGGAGAAATATAAAACCCCCTAAAAAGTAACCAAAAGATAATACTAAATATGAAAATTATGATATTTAAAATAAAAATTTCGTTGGCTAGAATTTAACAGCAGATCAGACACCACAGAAAGGATTGGTGAATTTGAAGATAGGATAACATATATTGCCCAAACTGAAGCACAGAAAGAGAAAACATTGAAGTAAATGAAGAGAGTGTGAGTGACTTCTTACACAGTATCAAAGCAGTCTAATATAGGTATAATTAGAATCTCATAAAAAAGGAGCAGAGAAGCAGTAAAGATCTAAAGAAATAATAAATGAAAATTTCCAAATTTGTTGGAAAACATCAACTCACAGATTCAGCTTGATGGACTCTGAACAGAATAAATATACAGAAAGCCTCAGCTAGGTATACCTTCTATCAAACTGCTAAAGCCCAAAGATAAA